ACCTTTCAGCTGTGCCTGGCTAACAATACAGAAGTTACAATGATGTAATGCACATGCACTCATGTTACCGTATCAAATAATATAAAACTAACCTTTGGTCTGTACAAAGTAACTTGTCTTGGCTGTGTTTTAGTAAACTACTACTTTGAAAAATATAGTCACATTTCAATTATTATAGATTATTGCTATTTTGAAATAAGTTCTTAAACATAGAACAGTAAATAAAGAAGTAAAGCAAACAATTCTCTTCTAGTTAAGACTTTTGTACTCTGTTGCTGCTTGACGTAGGTTGTTAAGCCTTTAAAAATTTTACATGTGGAGGATATGAAACAAAATAATTTTTTTAGGTTTTATATATACATTTGAATAACTAAAAAGTCATAAATTAATGTATTAATACCATAGAATTCCACTATAAATTATCAAGCTTAGTAACTATGTATTTTAGTCCAAAAAAATATAAAATTTCGAGCAGACTAAAGACACACCCTACCTTGTTGAAATATTGGTTCAAAAAAAAGAAATGGTGCTAAGCCCATTAAAAGCCACTTGGGGGACATTCTGAGCTTCTGATTGGTTATTCATGTTACATATAGAAGTAAGTACATAAGGGAGTGTTTCCAAAAATGAAAAGAAGTGGGCGGGGTGCCACTGTTTGATTTATTACGTGAGCAATATTTGAACAAATTGAAAAGATAAGAAGCTCTTATCTTATATTCTAGCTTGTCAATAATAGTACTTTGAGTATCTAATTTGTTCGAAACTATAGACTTAGTATTTTGACTTCACAAGTTTCAATGTTGTCATGCTTTGTTACTTAAAGATGAAATGTAATGGAGTAGCAAGCACCAGTTTATAATGTAAATTATAAGAAAACCAAATCATTAAACACTTGTTGAAAAAGGTTAGTCACTCCAAGATTCAAGTAATGTATCAAGTTCACAGCTGGGATTATAATCTGCCTAATCTGGATCACTGCCGGTATTTAATTTAACTAAAATGCCACACATTGATCTGCCTAATCTGGATCACTGCTGGTATTTAATTTAACTAAAAGCCACACATTGATGTACCTAATCTGGATCACTGCTGGTATTTAATGTCAACTGAAACACCACAATGTGATCCGCCTAATCTGGATCACTGCCAGTATTTAATGTCAACTAAAATACCATAATGTGATCTGCCTAATCTGGATCACTGCCGGTATTTAATGTCAACTAAAACACCACACATTGATGTGCATAATCTGGATCACTGCCAATAATCAATGTTAACTAAAACATCCACACATTGATCCGCCTAATCTGGATCACTGCTGGTATTTAACATTAATTCAGGTTATTTAAACTTACCCGTTTTATCTCTCACAGCAGTTAGTTTGTGTAGTTTAAACATGTTATGTCACTTCACTATGTGTGCTGCAAGGAGTCTAGGGAAATGCTAAAACTTCAACTTAACTTAAGAGGTTAATTAACTTGGACAAACCCTATGTGTAACTACTTTCTATCAACTCTTGGTTATTATTTTAACATATGACTATCAGTGTATGATGCCTTTCTTCACCATGCTGCTGCATAACATAACAGTTCTCTAACCCCAAAGACCGTGTCTCAGAGCAGAGAAAAAAGGATTTATTCATTTGTTTAATAAAACTTATTTTATACCTTTTGTATTTTTGAAGCTTATGGACAATGGGAAGTCCTAATGTACAGATGAACCCAGCAGTTCTTGTTAAATTCAAATATAACAAGTCAAATACTTTATAACATGATGGTCCCCACCACTTAAAGCATTAAACAATTGACAAGTAGGTATATGATACATTCAGGAGAGTAGAATACCAAGTCTTCGATAAGTGGCAGCATTTATGATAACTATGATTCCAACAAAATCTGCTCGGTGACAGCATCACCAGACATTTCTTTAAGTTGGAAAAAAAAAGATGTTTCTCCTATATTCTGTTACAATTATCTACTGGCAGTGTCTTTTTTATCAGCTTCTAGAATATCAGAAGAACCAAGAGAGTCATCATTTACCACCATGTCTGCTGTTGTCTCTTTCTGTTGGTGTCGTTCAAATTCAGCTTTGAAGTGCTCAAGATCTTGTTGGCTGTACAAATGTATGAAATATCATTTAGAAAATTCAGCTAATGAATATATTAATTATTCTTAAAATTTTCTCTTCACTAGAAACCAATAACTAATACTTACACAAAATTACTACCCTCATTTCTTTATAGATTAAAACTAATAAATATTTTAAAATAATTTATACATGTTGTTGAATAGTTGCTGGTGTACAACTAGGAAGTAAACCTGAGTTATTGTTGCTAATTGTTACCAAGGCAACTTACAAGAAAGGGAATAAGTCAAACCATTGCAACTTACCTGATATGAACAAAGAGTATACCGTTTATGATGTTAAGCATACCAAGGACATTACTCATAGAAGGTGGCTGGATCTGAAATCAGTAACACATGACCATCAAAAAACAATCTAGTAGATCTGTATCCTTTTGATTACTACTAATAGTTGTTCTTGTAATTTGGATACACTGTAAACTGCTAATATGTAAAGTGTACTATCACCTGAATAGGTGGTAACGTTGCTCCAGGTTTACCCTTGTAGATCTCATTCATCTTCTTCTGTAGGACAACTGCTTGTTGAGTAAGGTGTCGTAAACATTCTGAGCTCTCTCTCGTCTTCTCGTGGTCTTCTCCAAGCTGGAAAAACAAACAACTTATGCATGGAAAGACTTCTTTTGTAGTAGGAAGTCCAAAATGCGTGTGTTCTTAGAATGCATGGACAAAAACTATAAATGAATAACAGCACTACATTTAATATGAACTGCAAGGGCACCCAACTAATGAAATTATACATCATTGTAAGTAAGAGCATAAGAACTTTATCACTGGATGGTTGTACTTAATATTGTAAAAAAACTTGAACACCTACATGTGCTTTGTATATTGAAAATGTCTCCTTCTCGTTTTGGAGTGCAGCTCGAAAGTCTCCCATACAAGATTGTGTGCGTGCCACGAGATGGTAACTAATGGCCACTTTTAGACTTTTGTTTCCATAATACCTATAGTGACAAATCACATCAGGACTACAGACCTTGAAACAGAAAACTTTTAAAAATTAACACAAGTTTGTATTCATCTTCTAAACTACTGTTTGGATTCTCTCTCTCTTTTTTTATGGGTTGTCATTGGTTTGCTTTCCTAAAAGAAATGTAGGTAATGATATTTTCTGGTATCGCCACTTTCTTATAAGCATGTAAAGAAAGAAGCTGGATACATCAAATTTCTAAATGTTTTGAGAAATCAGATATTGGAATGATTTCCGAGGAAATGTAATTACTACAAAAGGTTGTTAGTTAGAAGTATAATACACATCATAAACATGTTTTTAACACGTACTGAATAAATTACTATATATTGTCAGTATGCATGGTCTAACCATCTGTTCTTTCACAATCAGTTTAACTCAAACTAATAATTTCATTACTTACTTGCTATTGAGTTTTAATGCATTTTGTAGGAAGCTCAACGAGAGGTCGTACTCTCCTATGGCATGAAGCACAAGTCCAATGTTGCTCTAAAATTAAATAATGGGATAATATTCACTGCTACATAAAGAAAAACAAAAGTTTCAATAGTAAGCTCCACAAGACTAATAAAAATTGTGAGGACCAATCTTTGAATCATGTGGCAAGTATGTTTCAATAACTGGCTCTCGTGTTCTGTGGTTAACAAAATGTTTACATATAAATATGAAAGGTTCAAAAAATACAAACTAGAGTTTAAAAGATCGTTTTAAATTATGCACATCTTAGTGTATGAGGAACTGTGGAATAAAGGATATAAAAGTTAAAAACAGAAAACTAGTATTACAAACTAAAGTAGCCACTTTGTGAGGGCCAAAAGGACTACATAAAAAATCTTTTAAACAACATTATTTTACAAAACCGCCTCCAAAATGATGGGTAAAGTCGAAGCTGAAGAATTATTTATTACAGAAACCTATTGAACTAGGTGCAACTATAATGTTGTTGGTTTAGCCACATTTGGAGTACCATGTTAAGTCCTGGGATCCTTACCTTAGAAAAAACATTGAATTGCTGGAAATGGTTCAGAGGAGGGCTACTGGGATGGAAAGGTTGTCATTACAAGGATAAGTTATGGTCTTTGGACCCATTTTCTCTTTAGAGAAAAAATAAAAGATTTTGAGGTATTTAGGATTGTTAAAGGAATTGATGATTATCTATTTTCATATTTCTATGGTGAAAATGACAAAATTAAGAGACAAAAGTATAAATTTTGGTAGGACAGAAGTCATCTTCAGCTAAGACAGTTTTATTTTCTAACAGGGTGGTTGGACTTTGTGATGGATTACTTTCAGATATAGTAGATCAGTGGTTCTCAACCTTTTTGAATCCACGGAACTCTTCTGGCATCAAATTTGAGTGACAGAACCCTTCTCAGTGTTTATTACAAAAAACATTACTGTGATACTATATCAATAATTCCAGACAAATTTCATATACATTTAATGCAGCTATGTACCCACCACATAATGAGGAACATATACTCACAAATAATAAAAGTTTTCATGACTCGTGCATCTATTTGTACCTAGTCTTGTTCACTAATTTAAAACAATGCAGTGACTTGTTATTTTGTGTCATTATGAAACCTGCTATACTAATAAAGAAATATGATGTAGTCGGACTGTAATTATGTAATTTGTGTATTAGAATATGTGGAACTCTTGAATTCCACAGAACCCCAATGGCTCATGGAACCCCTAGATGTCTGTCGAGGAACCTGTAAGGTTCTACAGAACCCCAGCTGAGAAGCACTGTGGCAGATGCAGTAAATTTAAAAGAATGCTTAATA